TAAGCCCCCAGTGCCCCCCGGGGACCAATCGACTCACTGTGGCCTGTTTTTCAGGCCGGGGCAGGGAAGAGGGCACAAGACAATAAACTCTTATTTTCTGATCCTAAAAAGGAATGGAGTGATCTGGTTAACCAGGAATTTTGATGAACACAATTACAATGTAGTCTCTGCGAGGGCACAGGAAGTCAACCCCCACAGGGAAACTTGGCTAAGCCGGAAAACACAGGGTCTCCCGTGGGGCAAGGGCAGACAAACAATCTTGCGAACAATACTGCAAAGTGCAAGGATGAGCTGGACACCCCCACCCCCACCCCCCGCAGCCCCCACCGTGTCAGAAGCCATTTCACAGCCCTGACGTGTCTGTGGGTCAAGCAGTGGAGGGCAGGAAGGAATCCATCCTGTAGGAAGTGACTCCCACGAGAGCCCTTATTCCACGGACACCAGAGAAAGACACTTCTATTACTGGTGCACCTGCCGTCCAGAGAGAAGACACAGGGGCTGATGAACAGGGTTCCAAAGGAGACAGTGCACAAAATGAGGACCTCTGGATGTCAGCAGACATCTCCTATCTGAGATGGCTTGTGCTTTTGCGGGTGGCATTCCGCCCAGCAACCCCATACAGCATGACAGGGAACTGAGAGATGCCCACCCTTCAGCGTCTCTTGAGAGAATCTCCATGTTGACCGAACAACACAACTGTATCGGTCCTGCTCCATACTGAGGTTTAGGGCAGGTACCCGACGGCCTCATGGCCATGTTCAGGCTCACGTGGGGGAAGGCGGTTCCCACAGGCGCTCCGGAAACATGGAGAACAGCTCTAGGAATGAGATGGGAAGTTGCACCTGCCACCCCATCTTGGAGCCCAGAGGGGCTTGAGAAACCCCACAGAGAGCCTGTAACTTTGGTCCCACTTCTAAGATCTGTCCGGCCCTGATATTTCAAAGGTATAAAGGCAGAGGCGGTGAGCTCCTCACAGGCTGTCTGGGCTTCTGGCCTCTGAGCAGGAAAACCTGAATGAGTCTGCTCACCAGCTCGTGATTAACTGAGACATTTTATTCAAACTCTCCACTTCGAGGAATGTTGGCTCCTTTCCTCCTACCCTTTCTCCGGCAGATAAAAATAGCGTGGGCCATTCTGCTATCATACCTCCAACCTCAGGACCCCAGAAGCATCTGCAGAAAGCACACAGGCCTAGGCGCAAGGAGACCGTGTTCCCAGACAGCAAGCTATAACTCAGGCAGTTCCCTGGGCCTCTCGGGGCCTCTGTCTCCTCATCTGTAAAACCAGGGGCTGCCAGCCCTCCAAACACCGGGGTTCTATGACCTGAGGAACACGTCACGTAACAGGGCCCAAAACCACAAGGGACATTTCATGCTTGCAAAAGCAGCTACCCCTGTTCCGAGCCAAAACAGGAACGTTCATGTCACATTACCTCTTCCCCCCAGCATGGTCCAGAGAGCGAAAATTTCCTCAGCCAAACTCGACTTGGAATGGATGGGAAGGATATGCGTCTGAAACCCCAGTGAAGCGAAGCGATTTAATGGAACTTGGAAGTCATTAAAATGTATGCCCCAACCAGGATTCACAAAGTTGTGAGCGTTACCGCAAACCCATACGGGGAGGCTGAACACGGACTTCTCCTCCCCTTGGCCGCAAGTCACTGTCCCGGCCTCTTTAGGGCTCCAATGTCCCTATCTGTCAGAAGAAGGAGGTGGGCGGGGGGGGGGGGCGGTTGTTAGCACTTCCCTTCGTCCTGAAGGATCTCAAAATGCACCCTGGAGGGACGCGTGGGTGGCTCAGTCGTTAAGCATCTGCCCTCGGCTCAGGTCATGATCTCAGGGTCCTGGGATCGAGTCCCGCATCAGGCTCTCTGCTCAGCGGGGAGCCTGCTTCTCCCTCTCCCACTCCCCCTGCTTGTGTTCCCTCTCTCGCTGTCTCTCTCTGACAAATAAATAAGATAAAAATTTTAAAAATCTTAAAAAAAAAAAAACCTGCACCCTGGATTTTCTACACTAGTATATATTGGTAGAGATATCAATTACCCTGCCCTAGGAGATGCTTCTGAAGGACATGCTGAGGCTCATGCACCAGCAGCATGCTCCCTAGGCAGCTCCTGGTAGGGTGAGGACCCCTCCACGTGATTCCTGATCCAATTTCCCTTTGCAGAGGAGAGAGCTGGGGAATAAGCGAATTTTGCCAACACTTGGTATTGGGGGGAAGGGGGGTGGGGGGTGGAGGGAGCAGGGAGAAGAGGAAATCCTAATGAAGCGCCCCCTTTCGTATTAAGGTACAAAAATCCCAGAATGCCTCATGCCAGGGTTTCTAGCACTTTCTCGGGCCCCTGAAGAAAACCCCCTACCCACATTTACCGAGCATTCTGTTCCATTCAGAATAGACCCTGCAAGTTCAGAGGAGACAAACGGAACTGCAAGTCGCTCGCTCAGGTGAGGTCACACGCTTGGAACCTCCCACCAAGCAGCCTGCCTGCCAGAAAGGGGCTCCAAGGGCAGGTGGCGTACGCTGCGTCCTCGAGGGGTCGGCACCCCTCTAAAGAACAGAGGACTGGGGCTCATCAGGGTGCCAAGGTGGGCATCTGACGCCCGCCTATGGCTGCCATCGGGCCGGCCCAGCTTGGTGGCCGCTAGAAGCGGGTCCCCAGGCACCAGAAACCCAGGGGCAGCAAGCGTTCTCACCGAGGAGACGCATCTCAGTGACTGTGTGGCGCTGGTGGCCCGAGCTCCAAGTGACGCCAATCAAAGACCTCAGGCTCTGAGAGCTGGCTCCCAGTGCATCCTAACTGCTCTGGAACCACGGGCACGGGAGGGAGGTTAAGGCTAATCGAGGCTGGAACCGCCAGCACGAGGCTCAGCAAGGGGTGCAATTCCAATCAGCCCAAGGCAGCGGACCTTTCTGCAGGTCTGCCTGCGTCTGGTGCAAAGAAAACCAGACAGAGGGTGATAGCCAGGGGACACCACTGCCGAGAGCGGGGACCCACCACTGCTCTGGGGGCCCCCCATGGCGCAGAGAACACGCGGGATGTGAGCGGGGAGGGCCGGCCTTTAGAAACCCCTTCATCTCTGTGAGGAGGCCTCGATTTCCTTATCTCGAAAATACAGAAATCGGACCCAATGGCCTCCTAGGGTTTTCTCTGGTTTCTCTTGCTCTCTTTTCTACGACTCGAGGATTCTGGATGTTGGTCTTAGTCCACCTGCTTTGTAAAGACATGCTGTTTCGTGAGAGGGGAAAAGTCTCATTCAAGTGTAGACATGGGTTCACAGGCAGCAGACTGGGCCCCCGAACACTGGGCTTCTTCCTCTCAACACGGTGAGTTCCAGGGAGTTCTTCTGCCCCGAATGGCCTATGTCAGCCCCTTCCCTGTCATTCCTAGAGCCACATGCAGTTGAGCTCTATCTGCCCAGCGACCCCGGGCTTCCCTGTGTCTGAAGCTGGAACTCACCCCACACCCAACACAGCCTTGTTCTTTTTGTTTAAGATTTTATTTATTTATTTGAGAGAGAGAGGGAAAGAGAGCACAAGCAGGGGGAGGGACAGAGGCAGAGGGAGAAGCAGGCGCCCCGCTGATCAGGGAGCCCAATGCGGGACTCGATCCCAGGACCCCAAGATCATGACCTGAGCCAGAAGGCAGATGCTTCACCGACTGAGCCACACAGGCACCCCCCGCAACACAGGCGTGTTCTGAGCCTGCTAGAGATAAGCTGTTCACCACGCACGCACGCCGGGACCTGAACACACACTCCACCTCGGCTTGGGCACAGCATGCCTCCATCTCTGCCAAGAGGCTCCCCTGGGCTCTCACCCTCCTCCAGGTAAAGCTTCTTTGCGGATCCCTTCTTCTCTGTGAACCTCCCTGCCACAGCCCACAGCCAAGGCCAGACCCACCAGAACCCACCAGCGCTCCCTAGCACTCCATCAGAACGTGACTGATCCGTCTAGGTTCTTTACACACCATCTTTCCGCAAGTGTACCAGCCGCTGGCCTGTCCCCTGGGAGCTGGCTAGAAATGCAGAGTCCCAGGCTCCACCTGAGCACCCAGCTCTGTATTTTAAAGGTCCCTGGGCAATTCAGATGCGCTTTAACCTCCGAGAAGCTCTGCTGTGAACTTTCCAGGTGCCCCTGGGTGACGAGCACAGGCTCAGGCCTCCGTGAGAAGCCACACCAAAATTAGAGATGCTGTCTGACCCCGTGGGTGGGAGACAGCATCCTGGAAGAAGGCTATGTGCAGACACAGACGAGCCTTCCCATATGAACTGGACCCCCTGCCTCGGCTGTCCAGAGCCTCCAGAGAGTGGTCACTAGAGTCTTGGCTGATGGGAGGTCCCTCTTTCCAAGAAAGGGGGGGTGTCTAACTTCCAGAGGCAGGAAGGTGGGCACAATAAGGCTATCCCACCCTGAAGTCTCCAGAGAGCATCCATGCATGCCCCTTAACACAGCCCACCCCTGCCACCACCAAACTGGACAGAAGCACCCAGCCCAGCCTGGAACCACAGTATAGACACCAGACTCCCTGGGCAGATCCTCGACTCCCTGGGGGAGCCCCCAACCGGCTTTCCCTTGTACACGGTCCCAGCTAGAACCGGGCCACATAGACGGCGGGTGGGTAGACAGGTAGAAGCCAAGCTTCAGATTTGGGAGAAGTGAGGGAGGCGAGATGTGGCCGCCAGTCCCCACAAGCCACACTGCCACCATATGGTTGCACGCCTCCACGGAACCGCTGCCCAGGTAACCGGGGAGCTGCCCACCCCCTCCACCAACAACCCCTTTTGACATCACATCTCATTCCTCCCCCCTTCTCGATTCTCACACAAGTCCTCTTTTCTCCCAGCTCTTTATGCTTCACAGGGGCCCCCCTGCCCAGCACACCAGGCCCCCCCAGGGCTTCTCAGCTCCCCATCTCAGAGGTTCTCAGAACCACTTTCTAAAATACCCAAGTTAGTTCAGAAACACGCAGAAAAAGCTGAGCCCATCGGATCAATTCTTACCATCAGAGAAGAGCTAGTCTTCCTCACGGGGCTGCTAATAACTCAGAGGAGAGTCCTGGGCCCCGCGTGGAGTCCCCAGACCCAGGGCCAGGCCCCTGCCAACTTCCTCTCCATGGCACCCTCTGCGAGAAATGGGGCTGATGCAAGCCATCGTGCCAAGGGTCAGTGCCGGGGACACCCTGGAGGGCGTTCCTGCGGCTTTGCACACTGCTCTTCTTTCACAAAGAACACCCTACATTGCACAGTTCCTTCCAAATCTGCCCCAGGTCCTGTGAGGAAATCAACGACGCATTCTGGACTTCCCAGTTGCGAAGTTTCTGGAGGCTTTTTTTTTTTTCCTTCACTCTCTCTTTTTCCCCTTTCTCAGCTAAAAAAAAGTTGGCCGAGGTCACGACACACAATGGCCAAGCTTGTGTCACTGACCAGATGCCTCCCACCCCCAGGCCTGGGGACAAGAGCTCCTTTGTCCACTATATTTTAGGCGGGACTCCCTGGGCCTGCCCAAGCCCTGCTGGGGAATGTTCCGCCAACTTCTTCCCAACCCTAAGTCACGGCTCTGGCCTCGGCCCCAGCCCCAGCTGTGTGAACCCAAGGCCAGATAAAAACCAACCTACAAAGAATGGGGAATGCTCCCCCAAAGAACCATTGTGTTAGACCCATCCAGGGCTGAAAAGCCCCAGAAGGGCAAGACGAGGGTCCCCTGCCTTCGCTCTGCCCTTGCCACCTCCAAACCTGGACAGTGGGTGACCAGGGGGACGATGCCATGCGTCTCAGAGGAAAAGGGCTTTAGGATCACAAAGCTGTTAGTTGCAAGTGGAGGAAGGATTGGACCCTGAGCTCAATATGGCACCCACCAACTAAATGAATTCAGACAAGAGACCTGGATCCTGCGTGAATGTATCAAATCACTCCACTCAGACAGCTTTTTGGAGCAGTTGAAGGGTTAGCACTTCAAATCCACACATTTCTATGTCTGCTTTCAATGTAACCCTTTGTGATTTTAGGAAATGAGGCTTGATATCGAAGTAAATATGGCTTTCCCAAGGGACCGCAAAGTCTCGAGGTCTGGATGGTTTCCTATAAATAGCATTCTCTCAAATGTATGGATGAACCGTGTATTTATGAAGAGGGTTCAGCGCCAGATCCTTGGGTTGGGCTAGGAAATCAGAACGATCCCTAGGGACAGAGTCAGAGGGCCCTGGAGCCCTTGTGGGTTCACTACCTACTAGCTGTGATACCTAACGTGGGGCCTCGAACCTTCCCCCATACCAGGGGGGACATCCACATAAACACTGAGCATAGAGCAAAAGGGACCAAAGTACCCAATAAAGGCAGTTGTTTTTGTGGCTCAAAGAGTAGGAGCTGAAGTTTCCCTGGACACACACAAAAAATGGGCAAAGGGCATTTCTCCCAAGAAGATATACAAATGGCCAATGGGCACACGGAAAAGTGCTCCTTATCACTCATCACTAGGGAAAACACATTAAAACCCAAATGAAGAGTCACCTCCCACCCATGAGGATGGCCACTATCAACAAACAAATAAATAAAACCAGAAAGGTCAGAGAAGAACAGGCATTGGCGAGGATGTAGGCAACATGGAAAACAATATGGCGGCTCCTCAGAAAGTTACACACAGAATTTCCGTAGGTCCCGCATTTCCACTTCTAGGTATACACCCAAGAGAACAGAAAAGTAGGGACTCAGCTGTCCATACTGTTGTACTGCAGCATTCTTCGTGATGGCCAAAGAATTTAGAAACAACCCAAGAGTGTGCATTCATGGATGAGCGGATAAACAAAATGTGGCGTGTATACAGCAGCATGGTGTTCAACCTTAGAAAGGAAATTCTGACCCAGACTACGGTGCAGATGAACCTAAAGACATTAGGCAAAACAAAATAACCCAGTCATGAAAAGGCAGATATTGTGGGATCCTACTTTAGGAGGGGCCTAGAATAGAAAAAATTCAGAGAGACAAAAAAAAAAAAAAAAAAAAGACTAAAATGGCGATTGCCAAGGGCCAGGGGAAGATGGGGGGGAGCGGGGATGTGGCGTTAGTGTTTAATGGAGACAGATTGAGTGTCCGTTGGCAAGATGACAAAGTCTGGAGGTGGATGGTGATGGTTGCACAACACTGTGAAGGCACTGGATGCCACAGATCTTGTAAACTTCAAAATGGTTAAAATGGTGTCATGTCTGTTTTAACACACACACACACACACACACACACGTCCGGGATGCACAGAGATAGCTTAGATCAAGGGACCCTGGCCAGTGTGACATAAGCCACATCATGAGATACCCAGGGACAGAACCTCCGGAGATGCGAAGCGCGCACCCAGAGAGAAGCCTCCCCAGCCTGCTGGTGAAGCCTATAAGGCAAGTCTGGGGCAGCTCAGATGGCTCACTGTGGTCCATCTGGTGTTCAATCTTGGGGAAACTGAGGCAGCACAACCAGCATCCTAATGTCAACCACGGGCTTGTCTGCTGATGGGGGCGTGCACTCAGAGGGCCAATGGCAACATGCCTCCCCCTGGACACATCAACTCCCACCTTTCTGGTCTTTTTCCTTCTACCCCCAGAGGCAGAGCTCATCTCTTCCTTCTCAAAGCCTGGGGTGGGCTGCTCGAGGGGCTCTACTTCCCCTCTCTGCTTGTCAGGCTCTGATCCGCTGCAGGGGGGCACAATGAGCTCTCCCTGAGCTCTCACTCTGGGCCAGATGCCGTCCTAAGTGCGTCATGTGCCTTGTGTCAAGGTAACTTGCCCCACAAGCCAACGAGGAGGTTTCTAGTATCGTTCCCATTTAACAGAGGAGTAAACACAGGCTCCCACCCACAAGAAGGTAAACGCAAAACTCCATCTGCACCCGGACAGCCAAGACCTCCACCTTGGGTCCTTCAGGTTTCATGGAATTAAAATACCCATGGAAGCTCTCACAGCCCATAACTTTTTGGTTTTGTGGCAGCAAAGAGGGGAGAGTTTTAAGGCTATTCAGCCTTGGCACCACTCTGACACTGCATCACACTCGTGAATAGATACAATCACAGACAGTAACACACCCCTATAGGGCAACACACAGATTGTCATCACAGTTCCCAGGATGGCCTCCAGCCAATGGCAAGAGACCTTTCTGGACCTTTATGAACGAGGAGGCTAATCTGCTCTGACCTGAGCTAAGCAGAACAAACCAGAGGCCCGCAAATGTTTTATCCTTTAGGATTCACCAACACGGATATCTCAGGGTGTGTAAAACTCATGAAGACAATCTCAGGGATTTACGGTTTGGGGTGATCCCAGTGTCTCAAACCAGACATCCCTTGAGTTTTGCTTTATGGACAGTCTTCTATCATTTGAGTTGGCTGCAAAAAAGCACAAATTGCTCTCATTCTGGTTTTTGCAAATAGGTAGGTTCCTACACCAGGGGTCACATAGACAAATGAAGGACAGTAGGAAACCAAACACAAAAAAAGACCAACAATCATTTCCATGGAGCTCCATTTTCCCTGGAGTTTCACGGAGTCCGATGCAGCCAACCTTCTTGCTATTATCCGTTGTCTCGGTTGAGTTGAAAACTGCCAACCAAAAGAGGCCACGTTCCACAACCAAAGGAGAACCATGAGTCGTGTTGTCTTATAATGATAATTAATAAGAAAGACAGCATATGGGGACGACTCACTTTTTCTAAATGCTTCATAATCGTGAAGGGAAAAATTATTCACCAGACCGTGCAATCTGGGGGCAGGGTCTCGAAGACACTCCCAACCCCCTCACAGGCAGCCCCTTGGCTATAGGATTAGTCAAGCAACTACGGTTACCAGCAACCTCTCCCCAAATGCTGTGGAAGACGCAGGCAAGTGTAACACCAAGGGACCTGGCTTCGACAATTTGGAAGATAAGGCACAGACACACAAGTAAAAAAGCAGAAACAACTACACAAGGGAGTCTATCATAAGTGCCAAGGAATAAGTCGGCAGACAGTAAGAGCTTTCAGAAGCCAGAGAAGGGCGAGATCATGTTCGGCTGGGGAGGTCAGAGAAGGCTTCTCAGAAGATGCAGCATTTGCCTGACAGCAGGGATGAAAAGGAAGGGCTTGACCAGAATGGAGGGACAGTAAGTGACAAGTAGAATAGGCCTCGGTGACTGAGCAGATGTGGGAGAAGTGGGAGGAAGTAAAAGTCGATCCTGAGGGGGACGAGGGAAGCCGGACCCAGTACTCAGGGAGATCCGGCCACGGTAGAAGCCAGTTTAGGGATATACGGTAGAGTTCACGAGCTCCATACTCAAGGTCCAAGTGCTTGATCAGGGTGCAGCAGGGCTGAGTGTGGCCCTTGACCCATGGAGCTGGGGTATCTGCCCGGAGATGGGGGTGCAATCCTACAGGTGGACTCAGTTTATGAAGAAAGAATGGAGAGCTGAGCCCCAAGGCATGCTCTCACTTTCCCCCAACCCTCCTTGGACCCAATCCCTCCCTCCCGCGAGCCCCCCACGATTGCCTGCAGCACACCTTGCACCCCTCTCCGAGACCCTCAAAGGCAAGAACCAGGTTTCCGTCCTTCTCCCCTCTGATGCAGCCCCCTGCCTCACACTTGGGGGCTGGCTCCATGATGGGCAAGGAATGGACACAAGTTCTGGGAATGAGTCACAGAAAACAAAGAAGGATGGGATCGTAAGAATAGGAAGCGGTGTCCACGAGAGAGACGGAAAAAGACGCTCACCGATGACGGAGGGGATGCTCCCCCCGCCAATCACAGAAAGAGGAGCAAGGGAGTGAGGTGGGCGTGGGAATCTGGTCCTGAGCATATGAGGAGTTGGGGAGCCTGAGGACACGCGGGGACGGGAGGTAAGATACTGAGATAGTAGAGCGTGGAGAGAAAGGAAAAGACTGTGAATAGGCAGTGGCTGGCCTGGGCCCACTGGGCCTGTGGATGGCTCCTACGAGGGGCCTGACAGCTACCTTCTTGCCCTCGGCATGGGGGGGGGTCCGAGGTCCCTCATAAGGTTCCCAGGTGTCCCTCTCCATAAAAGATTCCCAAGATCAAGTGAACATATCAGAAATGGCACCCACTGTAACAGGCTCGGTTCTGGACCCAAGGGATGCCTCGGCTCAACATCTCCCAAACTCCAGCCACTCACTGCCCTACTATTTACCCCGAAATTTTTTTTAACTCTCTTACAATGAGCTTGAATTTAGCCTGACCCTAAGCAGGAATAGCTATGAAACATGCATTTGACGTGGTTGGTTGTCTTCCCTGTTACACACTTAAATAAACATAACTTAAAAACAGTCATCATGGGGGTGGGGGGATGGGTCAGCCCG